TATGTGTCTATATGGTATTTTGGGGAACTCACTAAGCTTTATGCTTAAGTGTTATGTGTTATGTGTTTCAGGTACCAGTGATGATCACGGGAATGTGTCGGCATGATTCGTACACACGCATGGGTTTTTATGTATTTTGATCTTGGGAAATATTTGTGAAACAAAGTATGATACAATGGGGTTTTATCAATAAATGTGTTTGGAAAAAAGTGTGTTTAAAATGTGAAAATTTTGTTTTAAATTTTACGGTGTTACACATACACTCACATAAAGATATACACCTTGCTCAACATGTTACAAGGTGATAATAAATTGTTAGCATTTTTCTGTTAGTAACAGCTTCAATTAGTGTTATTAGAAAATTTATAGAAACTTCATAATAGATCCAATCAGAATCTGTAAATTCTGGGAGTTTGGAAAATAAGTCTAGTTCGTTCATAAAATTTTCCATGATTTTTAGTGACATCCAACTTAGGTGAAAACGTCCATAAACAAAGACTTGTCCGGATTGGTTCTTGAAAAGATAGGCAGTTTTGTAAAAATCACCATAAATTGTAGAAAACTCATATGGGGATGTTCAAGTAGTCATTTTAAAGGTATAAACCTGAACTATTTGCATCTAATACAGTTTTGAAAACAAAAATGCTTAAGTCGACCAAAACAGTTTGTGAATGGAGTCCAACTTTTCTGATGAAAGCTGTTAGAAACATTTAGTTGTGTTCTTGGTGATTTAACTTGTATACCCCCCCCCCCTTAAAACTTAATAAAATTTGAAAGTATAGGGGTATGAACTCACATAGAATGATTTCAGTAGATAGTGTTGGAGATGAGAAGCGTTCAACTCAAGAACACTTGAAGGATTACTTTGAAGATTCAAGAATCTAACACAATAAAGATGGAGTTTGTGTAAGCAATCAATGATTTGAGTAAAATGAAGTGTAATCATCTCAAGGAGGATGAATTATACTTACCAAAAATGTAAGAAAGTTTGGTGATCAGACTTGGAGTCTCGAAATTTATGGAGAAAGTTAGAGAGAAAAATGGAGTTTGATCTTTGGTGAAATGAGACCAATAAGTGAAGTGAGGAGTGTGGAATAATGTTTCAGCTCTAATAATGTGGAAAAAGGTAGGAAATGATTGAAAAAGTACATTGACAAGACCTGAGCATGGTAAGAGGAGTGTGGTTGGTCAAAGAGTGGGTGTGAGGGGTTGCTTGTGTCATAAGCTAAAGGAAAGTCAACATTCCACCTCAAATATTCACCCATTAGATTTTATTCTTTAAATAAAGATTTCCATAAAAATATGTTTAAATTATGAATATTTGGGGTCTTATATGTTAAAATATGATTTTTGGAGAAAATCTCACGTTAAAATGATGGAAAACAGGCTTAAAATGCTAAAAAAAATATTGAAAATCGGGTGAAAATTGTCAAAATCCGAAGTTCCTGGCCGAAGTCGCGAGGTCTCGGCTCTTAAGGAGTTAAGAACCGAAAGTGGGGAAAGGACCGAAAGGAGGGAAAGAGGAACCGAGAGCGCAAGGAGAAGAACAGAAGGCGAGGCTCGGTCTCGGCGGTGCAGGCTCGCTCCTCGGACAGAAGCTCCAGTCTCGGACCGAAAGTCAGGTCTTAGTTCGGTTGAGTGGTTCTCGGTTCTTCCTAGTTTCGGCTGCTGGGTCTCGGTTTCAGCTGCTGGGGCTCATTTTCAGTTGCTTCCCAGTTTCGGTTCTAGGGTTTCGGTTGCTAAGACGTTTCGGCCTCTAAGAGGAGTTTCGGCTCCTTAAGGCTGTTTTACTCGTTTTAACCCCGTTTCAAGCCGTTTTTGACCCGGTTAAGGGTCGGGATGGCCCGAAAGACTATGAAAAGTTACGAGAACTTTCGAGAGAGATTTGGGAGAGATTTAAAATAGAGAGAGACAGAGTGACTATTACTGAGGGAGGCTTCGTTTGTGACCTTTTTGAGTGTCTGGCTTCGAAATTACAAGGTCCATAAACCCCATTAAGCCTTGTTGTAGTGTCCTACACACTCTCTATGAGTGTGTAATAGTGTTTTATCGCTTTGGTTCAATGTTTAGCATTTTCACGGCTATGGAAATTCAAACGTACGAATTTTCCAATTCATGTTTTCTCATTAAAATAGCGGGTTGTTTAGTAAATACACAATGTAAACCCTAATATACAAGGGCTAATTGAGTCGTCTAGTTTGACTTGTTGACTTTGTTTGACTTTGACTTGACCCGAAATTGACTATTGTCACACAATATTATTTCGAAATTTACGCAAGTTTCACCTTTCGATATTAAACAACTATTGTTTGGATACTGCAAATGAAATTTACCACACAAGTCTTAGGGTCTTAAGATTACTACTTTGTACATCAAAAAATATAGGATTTTCTAGAGAAAACGATTTTATAGGGTTTCGAAAATGATAAACAAAAACACACAGGCAACTATATTTGATTGGAAACAAGACATACAACTATTTCAATAGAAAATATTGGATTTTTTGGGTTTCTAAACTATCACAATTTTTTTATACAAAAATGCTTATGAACTCACAAACATATTTTATGTTGACACTTTTCAAATGACTTGTATTATTAGGAAATCAGTAAGCAAGTACATAGATCGCAGATTTTGGGATATTTTGCTGTAATTTGGAATTTACTTACTATTGTCTCTTTTGTGTAATTTGAGAACAAATGCATGATGTAAAACAATGTAAGTTTGTTATCTTAATGTATGATGTTTGGATTTGGTATGTTTCATTTACATTCAATTGTTATGATACCGCACAATGATGTCACCCACATACGGACGTTTCCGCCGTCCTGGTCAGGGGGTGTGACACATTCTTTAAGCAGATCGAGGTTTTGAGAGTGGGGTGAGGGATGCCGGATTTTGCAGTTTTGAATAATGTTTATCAAACCCGGGGAACCTATATTTATAATGGATCGTCTTTAATCCTTATGGGATAATTACTTGGTCACTAAGTAATTATCTATTAGGTTTAACTTTCAAATATTTCTGTTTAAACCTTATAAGTTCTACAAGTTTCTACTAATTTATTAATCACTAAGGTTAATGTATGCCTACAGATATGTCACAGGACAACAAGTCCCTAACTACGTAAATCAAGATCTTGGCGAATAACTTCTAACAGAAAGAAAAGCCCTTGAATAGTTGAATTTGGATCACTACTAAGAAGCCATACAAACCCACATCATAACATGTAACTCTGCTATATGGCGGTTGAGCCATACAGTAAGACAACAAAACAATGTCACAATAAGCAATCACTCGTTCCACACACGTACAAGGTGGAAAAACATGAAAGGAGATGTCAGTGCAAGCAAGTGCTTGTATCATCACCAATATTCTCTCTACAACAATCAACATCCTTAAAAATCAATCAGAGGACAGTTGGACCAATCCACACCTCTGCATCCTGACAAATCTGTTTGGACAATCCCCACTCGAGGCTCTCCAAACCCTAACTATATAAGGACCAACATAACCCATGTATAGGAATCACTTTATTCACATTCAATACCCTAATACATCTTAATGATTATCATATGATGTCTCAGAATTAGCATTCCTTTTGTCCTTGGTGTTTAAGCCCAAATTAGGCATTCTAACACTAATCACCTTTTACCCATGGGCATATGGCTTTCTTCTTCTTGACACTTCTATTCATGATGGCGAATATTGGAGTATATGAAGTTGAAGCTTCTATGATTAGCCATGTGAGTCCGATATTAAAGGGTCTCAACATGCCATGCAACTCTTTTATGTACATTTCAAAGTTGTTCATATCAAAATCAAAGTGTACTAATTATATGTGCATGTCAGCTAGTCGATAACGGTGACCATAGTCAACTCATAACTTAAAGAAATTCCATTTTACTTCAACGATATCCTTGATAACTATTCTAACATTTTTAGAATTTAGTGGTTCGAGGAACCCTAGGAAGAGCATTATCTAAGGAATAATCTTTCTATTCGTCTATGAGAACCTTTCCCAAACTATGAAATTTGGAATAGATTAATCATCCTTCTAGGTAAATACTTCTTCTCCATTTATGGAAGCTTAAAGACTTCAAATGTGGTTTTTAGGGCAACCATGACGCGGTGGATAAAGCACCATGACGTGGTGCTGGCTATATGGAACGCACATTTGTGCGCACCACAATCTAGAAAAGGTATGGCCATGATGTGGTTGTGGACATTATGAAAAACCCTAATTTCCAGGATTAGTGCCCCTATTGAAAAGATGTGATGGCTAGGGTTTGTTCACCCTTAGCCTCCATGTAACAACTGTTAAAAATTGGTTAGAGTTCGACGGTTAAACCACCACGAACCGTTGGGTATTAAATATATTATATTAATAATTGGTTTTAGATCATCTCAAACTGCTCAAACCATATATCGTTGAAGATAGAATAAAAAATCACCAAAAATTAAATTTATTTGTGACGTTAAAAAAATAAAATTTTGCATCAAGTATATATGAGAGTTATGGATAAGATAATTGAATAGATTATTTTCTTCTGATTTCATGAATATAAAGAACATCCAAAACAGAGATCGTTTGAGTAAGTTATGTCTCTTTAAAATTATAAAAATCAATATATATTTGATTTTCCTGAAACGAGTTATATGTTGCTTCCTTTGGAATAGCTACGAACCCCGTAAATCACTTTTGAGAACGTTTTTGAACTCAAACTATGGTCTGCTATTTTATTTCATTTTTATCATATTTTTAATCTCAACCAAAGTCAAATTCTTAAAAGCTGTTGATTCGGAAGCAATTAATCGTGAAACTTTAAAAATTGATTCCAGAAGTTTCGTATATTGTAATTAAATTTCGTCTATATTTCTGGAATCAACACGATCGGAACAACAAGAAAACTATCAGAAAATTTTTACGTATAGAAATCATTGAAATGAGAGTCGAAAAATGAAAAAAAAAACCAAAACTACGTTATACATAATTATTAGTCAAAATATCTATAGCATAAAAGTCATTGGAGACTTTTATACGTGCATTTGAAGCTTCAAATTGAAGCTACCCTTTTATTTTTCTTTAACCCCTCTCGACCTACCTATCTCTCCCGATCTATCGTTTGTCTCTCTCGTTCTTACACTCCAGCAAGGAAGAAGCGAATCCGGCGAGCAAGCCGGCGATTGCACCCCTCCCATGTTCTCCGATCAACAACACCCAAACACTACTACTCCCTGATACTGTTCGATGCCAGAGAAGCCCTGATAAGGACGAGACAGCCGAGAAGCAACCACCAGAAAAACCGGATGTCAACCACCCCACCCCTGTTTACCTGTATCCTTCGCGGTTCGTCACCGGAGAAACCCACCCCGTCCTCCTTCGTCCCTTTCCGTCGACGAGAACTGCTAAAACACCCCTTTGATCGGCGATGGTAGATGCCCTTTCCCCTCCTTCAGGTTTATCGAGGGGTCAGAAAAAGAGGAACAACAAGGAGCTGCCGGAGCAGCCCCTCAAACCACTGTTGTCAGCAACAGCGGTCATCAATCGCCGTCTCTACCTCTGTTATCCTTCCTCGAACTGTTGGGTTTTATTTAATCTTGACAGGTTTATTTAATTAGTATTTGTTATTTAGTAAAATAAATACTTTGGGTCTTCAATTGAATGGGTCATGTGGACCAAGTATTAGGAGCTGGAAAAGGGGAAAAACGTGGACTTGTTCTCCTTTAGTTGAGTTTAGTTTGTTTAGGTTTCATTAGGGTATGTAGGTTATAAAAAGCTTTTTATCTTCTGAATAAGAAGAGCAAGTCACAATTACTTCTTCTTCTTCATCATATTCCTCACGTAACAAAAGAAGGTTGAATCTTTGTTTTGCAGTTGACAAAAGAGGGCCTGATTTCCAACACGAACAACCCAAGCCGCTCCTCCATTACCAACGACTGCTGCTACTGTTGTCTTTTAGGCTTGATTTACTGTCGGCGACCAAGGCTTGGAAGCCGATTGGGGATCGTCGGAGGATGAATCCTCATCTTCATTGCTTCCGTTCGATTCCTTCTCCGATTCACCCAATGCTGCCACCCGAAATTATGCTTTATCAATTGTTAGATTTGGCAACACCAGTCCCTCTAATTGTGATTTTTAAATCAAAATAAGCCCTTGGTATATATCTCTTTCAAAACAGGTCCCATGTAATTTAGTCTTTTCAAAAATGGTCCCATTTGATTAATCCATTACAAAAACGGGTCCCCTAGTGCTAAATAAATTACAAAATAGTATTTTTTTTAAATATAAAGTATTTCAAAACAAGTCATTTTAGTTTAAAATATTACAAAGCAAACTTGAAAATGTTTTAAAATCTAAGAAATGTGACCTCGCGGTTATTCACGAAAAGCCTCACCGAAACTGAGACTAGATTGTGATCATGCATCGAATGTGTGCGGTCCCTCTTTTGCGGTTTTAATATTTGGGGGAGAATATATATATGTCAATCAAATTTTTGATGATTTTCAAGTTTTATACACAAAATAACATCATATTTTATTATTGGTTAAACGTGTATGAAATAGAAAATCTAAAATGCATGAATCTTCAATAACTCCCAAAATTTATAGTAGAATGCTATAAATGACATAATTATCCCTCCTGATATACTAATAAATATATTAAAAATCACAAAATTTTGAGAAGATTGCTATACAAACACAAGTTAAGATTGAAAGTAATAAAAATGAGGTTGATATATATATATATATATATATATATATATATATATATATATATATATATATATATATATATAAACTTTTCTTGGCTCTGATACCATCTTTGTACCATCTATATACTAATTATCAATTTTGATACCATCTGTGTACCATTTATGATTTGTACCATCTATATACTAATTATCAATTTTGATACCATCTATGTACTAATTATCAATTTTGGAACTAGAAAACAACTATCAATTTTGGAACTAGAAAACAACTAGTTTTGTTTTTAGATAACGTATCTGTTTGTAACGAATTTTAATACTTGCTCTTATAAATCGTCTAACATCATGAATATGATTATTGTTTAAAATTGTACCTTGATTATTAGGTTTATGAGAATCTTTAAGATTTTGCTCAGAGTTATTAATAGATTCTTGGATTTGCTGTATTTTTAAAAGAATATTTCTATTAGGAATACAATTCATCAAGATTTTGTTAGACATAATTAAATGATTTAACCATGAATTTGATTAATTTGATTATTAAAAACGAGTACTATTTTAACAAAAATTTCAAATCTTGTAGAATTAATAGTTAGAATAACTCGAAATGAAATTATCATAGAGAAATAAAAACAAGACAACGATAAAATATTTTAGATAATACCTTCTTGAATTAGGCTTGAATTACAATCAGTACATACTTCTGGAGAAAGAATTATTTGAAAATCTAAAGACTTTGAACATCTACTAGTAGAAAGAGAGACTCTTGGAGATTTTTTAGACATGGGATGAACATTTTTTAGAGAATGAAATTTTTTTTTGTGTCTTCAACTAAAGGATAGTCTCTATTTATAATCATCTTGGAGTCTTCAAAGTCTTGAAATCATCTAGTGATAATTTTTTGCTGTAAGAATCCATAGCCAATCAATAGAAATAATTACTTGTAAGTGGTTGTCCTTGAAAGTGGTTGTCATTCATCTTTTGAAACAATTGTCGTTTGTAATCAATGACCATCTTCTTTTGATAAAGCAAGCCATTATAGAGCATCTTCTAAAGTTTTTTGTCCTCATATCATCATCGATTATAGATTTGATAATAATTTTGATAAAATTGTTTATACATAAATACATGAATACCTACATAGTATACATGTATTCGTATTTGAAAAACAAAATTTTGATAATAGAAGAAACGAAATATTTAAAGTATTACATCAAATTTATGGATAACGATTTCTTATTCTTCATAAGGATTATCAAAAGGGTCTTGAGCGTCTTCAAATAAATCATTCTTTATAGATTTTGGAGAATCATCAGAAACTGATGGAGTTTGACGAATTTCTTGAAGTAATTTTTGAAGTTATTCAGGAGAAGAGGTAGCAACATCTTTAATTCTTGCAATTAGATCCACATCACTTTTGGGAAGAATGTTGATAAAAGTGGCTTCGACTTCTGGTTTTTGAATATATATTTCTTGATAATGTTTAATTACTGCTTGTTCACTGGCTTGAGAAATCTTCATTTTATCCCACCATTTTGAGTGAAATTGGCGATTAAGCCAGGGAGGAGAGGAGTCCTTTGCTTCTTGATAATGAAAAGTCCAAGACATTATCCATGGAACTTTAAATATCATAGTGAATTGTAACATGTATTCAAATTCTGGAATTTTTTTGAATAAACAATTCTTTAAATTTGAGATATCCAACGTAAATTTCTTTTGGTAAACAATTTGGAAGAATACCCATATATTTGTACCAATTGATAAACCATCTTGGATATTCACAATTGAAGTTTAAATCAAAGAAGATAAACCATGAATGTGAATAATTCCGAATAAAGAATGCCTTAGTCCAGGCGTCTTGATAATCATAGTAAGAAAATTTGGAATAAGCAGGATAACTTATAAGAGATTTTTCAGAGTGAAGGTTTGGAACCCAACTTTCTGGAGAAATGATTTTGATAATATGAGCTTTGCTAAAATCAATGTTTCCCTCTTTAGAATTAGAACGATGAACAAAATTGACTGAACCAGATTCTTGCAGAATAGCTTGATAATATTCTCGGGTTTTATATGAATCAACATAAAAGGTTTTCCCTTGTCCAAAGAGATGATTGGTGAGAATATGAAAGCCTTGGTGTAACTTATGGATTCGAAAATCTTCAAGAATTTGAACTCTTAGGAAATTTGGATTAAGAACATAAGGAGTTTTTGTAGAAGGGCTAGGAGTAACAGATTTTTGAGTATGAGGAGTGATAGGTTTTGCAAAAGGGCTTATTGTCTCGGTTGAAGTAACTTTTGGAGTAACAAGCTTTGACTGAAGGATATTAGAATAAAGTTGTGAATTCTTAGAAGTAGGTGTTAAAGGAGAAAAATGATTTTGATTTTGAAATGGAACTAGCTTTTGAGAGGCTGGAACAAGATTTTGAGAGACTGGCTTCTTGTCATCATGTTTGGAAGAGGACGACGAACTCATTTTCCCTGCAAAAATTCTCAAGAAAGAAAGTCAGGAAGCGAGTTATTTGCTCCTTTTATAAATTCTATTTCGAAATCAAAGTTACCTAAGAGGGCTTGCCAACAAGCAAAAATTTGCTTGGAAATAATATTTTTTACATCTTTTTCCAAAATACTTTTTGCAGATTGACAATCTATTCTTAATAAAAAACTTTTCATAAATAAATCATCTTCAAATTTCTTAATACATAAAACAATGCTTAAAATTTCCTTTTTGACAGTTGAATAATTTTTCTGTGTATCATTCCATGCACCAGAGTAATATTGAACCAATTGCTCTTCAGTTGAGTTAACAAATTTTTGTTTTAAAATTCCTCCGAATCCAATATCACTAGCATCGGTTTCAACTATGATTTTGGCATCGGGATGAGGTAAATTTAAACATGGCAAAGTAGGGACCTTTTGTTTTATATATTTAATTATATCTGTATGTTTTTGAGTCCATGGTTCAGGATTGTCTTTTAATCGATTATAAAACGATTTACATATGATCCCTAAATCTTTGAAAAAATCATGGATATAATTTAAGCATCCTAAAAATCTTTGAAGTTGTTTTTTATCTTTAATTTCATCAGGAAATTTAGTAGAAAATTGCAAGCTTCTTGTTATAGGTCTAATAGTATTTTTGACAATATCATGTCCTAAAAAATGAATTTCATTTTTAAATAAATGCATTTTTGTTGCAGAGACAGCTAAACCATTATGATAAATTAAATCATGAAATTGATTTAAATGTTTAAAATGTTGATCAATTGATTTTGAAAAAATTAGGACATCGTCGATATAAGCAATAACAAAACTACTTATAGGAGTTATGATATCATTCATAATATTTTGGAATTCAGAAGGAGCATTTTTTAATCCAAAAGGCATTACATTCCATTCAAAATGCCCAAAGGGAACATTAAAACCAGTTTTGTATTTATCTTCCTCATGAAGTTGTATTTGCCAAAATCCTGATTTCATATTAAACTTTGAAAATATTTTTGAATCATAAAGCTTTTTTAGCAAATTTCGTTTATTAGGAATAGGATAACGAATCCATTCTAAAACTTTGTTTAAAGGTTTATAATTGATAACTAATCTTGGTGATCCTCTTTCTAATTCTGCAACATTCATAACATAAAATGCTGAACAAGACCATGGTGATTTAGAAGGTCTTATGAGTTTTTTATTTATTAAATCTTGAATTTCATTTTTACAATGACTTTCTAATTCATTATTCATGTGAATGACTCTAGATTTTGAAGGAATATCCGTTTCATTAAAAAAAATTTTATATATGGTAGTTTTACAATGTGTTGCTTTCTATTCCAAAAGGCATTAGGAATATTAGAACAAACATTTTTTTTTTCAAATTTTAATTTTAATCCTGTTATTTTATTTTGAATATTATTATCACTTAATTGATTAGTTATCCGAACATTATTTATTTCGTTAATAAGATATTTGGCTTGTTGCGTTTTATAATTAAGGACATTAATCGTTGAATATAGAGGAGGTTCACAAAATTTAAATATAATTTCCTTTCCAAAAACATTGGTTCTTATACCATCATCATGAACCATAAAAGGATATAGTTTTGTAATGAAAGGTGTTCCTAAAATTAAAGGAGAAGAGAGATCTTTTACTAGAATTATGTGAGTTTTATAACAGTAATCTTGGTCATTACAAATATGAACATCAGAAACTTTATAATTTACAATTATTTTGTACCTCCGGCACCAGTAAGTCTAGATGTAGTTTTTTCATAAAATTGTGTAGGAAAAATTCCTTCTTGAATACAATTCATATTAGCACCACTATCAATTAAAGCAGTTAGGTTGATTTTAAAATTATCCTTGATTAAAGTAATTTGAGTGTTCCATTTTTGAGAAACTTGATTATTTATAAGTTTACCAATAGTTACATTTTCAATTTTATTTTCTTCTTCGTTATTAATTTCTATATTTTTGTTTTTAAAAGTAGAAGGTTTTTCCTTTTCTAAAATTAAAATTTTATTTTTTATTTCTTTTATTTCTTGTTTTACTATTTTTAATTCTTCTTGAAGTTCTTGCATAGAAATTGGCTTTGCTTTAGTAAATCTTTCGTATATATTTTTTAAATTAAAATTTTCATTATTAGCAGGAGTTATGTTATTAGTTTTATTAAGCATCTGTTTTATTAGCAATTCTTGGATATTTTTATCTTTTATAGAATCAAGAGAGTTTAAAAGATCTTTATCATCTTGTGAAAGAACATTAATGGAGCTACTAATGATTACATTGATTAAATTGTTACAGTGACATTTACCAATACACTCGCAAATATCAGAATCTTCAGAACTTGAAGTAGTATTTTCAAGAATATTTAAATCATTTGTTTGAAAGTCAGAAATACTTTCATCGGAATCTGAATCAGTATTTAAAATAAATTTTCTTATTTGTTCTTTCAAGTCTTCAGAGACATTTAACTCATTTATTTTTGTCTTAGCATAAC